TGTTATATTTGAGTATAGTGTTTGTGATATCTTGTACCGCTGCTTGTCGAATTTCTTCTCTCGTCGGCATTCACTTTCAAGGTTTTCTAGCTGCGACTGGGCTTTTCTTTTTGAGCGTCGATTTGTATCTAGTTTTATCTGCAGGTTAATATATGTTGTGGCCACTTCTCGTTCTGTGCAATTATACGCAGTATTTCAAGGCATAATACTAGTAACATTCCCTATATTTCTGATGTAAGCAAAGATCAAGTTGTGCGCCACTTATATCTGATGCATTCCGGGATAATACTTTAATTTGAGAATAACATATATACATTTTCCACAGTTACTATTCCCTGTGCTGTTTTTCATCCTTCAAGTCGCGAAGTACAACCTGCTCTTGTTCTTATTTACCTGATATTTACAATACTAGTATACATATTTCTGTCTGCACAGGATTGGAGTGGATTCACTATTTTCACAATTATGAATCTATGATGTTCGCGAGTCTATTCACACACTTGCTATCCATATCTTCACGCGATTTTTTTACATACATATGTGGATAGATAGGCTTCTTTCGAGCAATTTTGTATTTTTCTTGTATGTATAGAGTTCTGTAGTTTGCAATATTCTGTTGGGCTGTAATTTTAACACATATCCAGGAGTTACATGTATAGGTGGTATCATTCCTGCGGGCTCTTAAAAGTGCATTCATTGAACGCAGTTGATTGACATATTCTACCCCTCTGCGCACCACATTCTTTCTAAATTTCTTCGACCGTGGTTACGAATATGTGGTTGCGTATAGTGAAATCTCTTATCTGCAATAAATTCGACACGTATATACTCGATGCAATGTCAAATATCTGTCCCTGTCTGTATACGTGAGTATACATATACCGAACTTAAAGAAGTATGGGAATTTTATCTATTCTTACTTGGAACTAGACGCAAACGTGTGTATATGTACGCTTGATGTATGTGATAACCGTATCCATATCATGATTTGTTTATAGTTTGAACGGGCTCTGGAGTGTATGTGAACTAATTGCTCTGCTGTGTTGTGTTCTGTGTAATTGGGTTGCATTAAAGTGTGATGACACTGCGTTGTTTAAAGTATGAATCGTAATTGCTTCTCTCCGTTGTTCGTCACAAATCCACTGCTATAAACAGTCTGCTATGATTATGCATTTATTCGAGGCTAAAGACTGATCTGATGTAGCTATCCCTCACATGCTGGTACTTTTGTGTACGTGTTTGCTTGACTGGTGCGCCTTGCATGCAATACACTCAAATTATAGTCAGCGGGAATACCGTAGTATTACTCAAATGATAGGTCTTGGGTTTACTACAATAGGCTATGCCTAGGAAGGAGAGGGACGATTACGACAGACGCTTGCCCGAAATTCAACGGAGGAATAGAATGCTGATGCAAGTAGTGCAGGTACGTTTTTGAACTGAAGTGAATCAGGATCAGTCATCGTTCTGCTCTCTAGAGCTCAGGGCATAGTTTGCAAACTGAAACTCACAGTAAGGATGAATATTACGAGATCCTTGAGAGATCAACCGTTGGAATTCAAGCAAGCCCCATGTTTCGCAATCTCCAATCCCGATAGATAGCTTTGCATCAGGACAGTGGGTTGCGATTTTACAACTATTACCTCTATTGCAAGCTAGGGCAATTCGGTTGGGTGCCATATCGAGTGTCACCATCGTCGTATTTGGCCAGGCGTAGTTATTCACACATCGCTCTATGCGTGTCCACAATGTCATATTTTATTGTTATCGAAAAGTTGCCCAACTGATTGCTGATGATGTACTTAACTGACACCATGAGACTCATAGTAGACATTGTCTTTTATACTTAACACAGAAAAATATCGATTCCGAGCAACCCTCGTGGAAAGTTATGCATAAAGACAAGGAAGATCAGCTAGAAGGGCCACCCACTTGTACGGTGGACAAATAAATAGGGAGCAATTAACCGAGGTGCCTACCGCACCAGCATATTCTAGAACTGTGGGCCGGGATATACAATCAGTGACAGTGATATCGGCCCGAGATTCCGCCTGTGGTCGAGGTAGACCGTATACGGCCCCCAAAGTGGATAGTATTTAGCTAGTTGGCAGGGTTATAGGGCATAGTCATGGCTTTTACAAGGGCAGGAGATTTTTTTCCGATTCTCAAACTTGAGTATTTTTTTTTAGGTACAAGTATGTACGCTTAAAGCAATGACTTTAAGTTAAAAATGATTAAAATGTTATAATTACACATATATTGAATGCTACCGCAGTACTTTACCAAAAGCTTAAACATGATTCTGTGTGAGGTCTCCATAGCCGTATGCACACTCAGATTGTTAACTGTAATTACAGCAGGAGTGCATGCTGCGAGTCATAACATATTATTGTTTTTCTTGAAAACAAAGAAGAAAAACCCAACAAAGTATACGCCCGCGTCTTTCGCAAGGAGAGCTTATCCGTCATCAATCGGAATTATCAAGTACCGAAATGCTCGCTGTCCAGAGGTGGTGTTTCATTCACTTTCTCGAGTATTTCTTTATTTACACAAAGACTTCGCAAAACAGTCCTTCTCTATTAGACATATAGTGTGTATCGCCAAATTACACCTATGAAATTCTATTCAATAAACACTGTGTTTGGTATTACTTATTACGTGTAGTTTCACGAGCCGACAGGGTGACAGATATTAGTAGTGCAATGATTCGGGGACGTTTGCAGAGGCTAGTACTCTGTCTGCTCTTAGCATCGGTGTGTATTTGTACACAGGTACATGCCCAAGATCACGCACAAGCACAGCAGGATGCAAACGTCGCTCAAGGTCAAGATAGCAATGCAAATCCAGAGAAAGTCCAAGAGAAAGGGCAGACAGGGATGGCGAGGAGATTGAAGGAGATTCAGGAGGCTAGGCAAAAGGCATTGAAAGCCGAACGCAAACAGGCGGAAGTGCGGGCTGACGTTTCAGGAACGGACGAAAAGGAAAAGGAAAAAAAGGCATATCTCGATGCCAGGAAAATAGAGATGCAAGTTGAGTATCTCGAGGGTATTAAAAAGAGGGAACAGGAGATGGAAGCTGCGCATATAGAACAGGAGACGAGAAATAAGGAGGTTAGAATGGAGGAAGGAGATAAAAACCAGGCAGACAAGACAAAGACACAGGACGACGTTCGCGTGCTTACACCGGAACAGATCGCACTGGAACAGCTGCGAGAGAGTTTAAAGATGAAGATGAAGGGTGATACGGACAAGAGGGAAGGTGCGGATGGGAATGTCGATGCTGAAAGGGGTAGTGTTGTCGATGGTACTACTGACAGAGACAGTGCCGGTTTGGATACTATTATGAAGGGTACACCTACACGTGAGACCACAGACAGGGGCAGAGTGGAGGGTAAAGCTGGGGGTGAAGACGCCAGTGGTAACGATAGAAGAATGCAAGATGAGCAACGTCGGCAACAACAGAAGGAAAACGCAAGGCTTCTACAGGAACAGAGTGAACAAGTGCGGCAAAAGAGTGGGATCAAGCTGAGTGGCCGGGTGGTTGTAGAGAGAGACAGGGATGCAGACAAGAAGACCCAAGAACAGCAACTGAAAGAACACCAACGAGCGATGGATATGGCCAAAGGCGCACAGATGCGGGCACAGGTAAAGGCCAGGGAGATAGAAGCGGTACAAGCACGCAAGCTAGCACGTATGGCGGCTCTTGCGGGGACTAGCACGGAGCACGAAAGCGACGTGCATATGCCCGAGGAGATAGGCGAGATGGATGCCGATGAGGATCGTATGGCTGCGGGTGATGTGGGGGACCACTTGTTTGTCAAGGCACGACAGTATTTTGATGAGTATGCGGACGATGCTAAGGTGTGTACGCCAGTATCATGTTAGTGGGGTGTAGCGGGTATGTTTGAATACGAGTATGAGTGCATGAGCTCAGTTAGCAGCTGGATTGGTTGAAGTGGGGAATTTTCTTTTTGTACCGAAGTAATGTCTCAGATGTTCTTCATGTATATATTGGAATACGACACAAGTGCGTTGATATTCAGTGCTGTGCACAATTTGGAACGGACCACGCATAAGTATGCATAAGCCCATTAATATATATATATATATATATATATAATATTAGTCGTTAAATGATAAGAGTAATATATTGACAAGTGTACCATTGGCAACACATTTGTGCGTTGCCTGTATACTATGGAATGCTGCGTGTGTATATAAGTTTTTGCGTATGGTGGTAACTCGTGGATATGCGCACAACTTATTACACTGATATTAAAATGTCTGTTCATACATACTTTTGTTTCTTCACTTCTACCCACAGTCGTGCAAATGTGCCCCTCTTTGTCGTTAAATAAGCAATGTTCCATAGAATGCAGATCTAGTGCGTTAGCTTGAGATCTGGCATGTGTACATACATGAAGCTGTAGATATACAACATATCTTGTTCCGGTCACAACGAATGGAGTGTACACAATTACGATCAAGCCCGTGCACGCGGGCACGACACCCACCTAGTATCGACAACATACATAATCATACACCTATACAAGTCCACTCCTGTATATTTCATGTACATACATACATCTGTGTATGTACGTCACTATTCACATCACGCGCATACAAACATCTGCACCATTTTACTACTTAACTTACCTTACGCTTACCAATTCTGTATATGTCCCTGTATATATTCACACAACCAAGCCATGTGAATTCCACCATGAATGTGGTCTCGATGCGCGGCCGAACACATACGAATATCTGCACTAGTGTATTACTTCACACACATCTTACACATACGCATCCTGCACACATCCCACACCATCAAATCAGGTGATCTCCATGATGAAGGTGGCCTCGAAGTACGGATCAGATGCGGCGACCGAGTTCCTCGCACGGCAACACGTGTTCGGTTTGTTGAACGCGCCCTCTCAAGGGTACTTGCCTGAGCCGGATGTAGCTTCCGCATTGCCTTTACTGACAACTCTGGTGGAAGAGAAAGGCTACCCTGAGGCACAGAGTTTGGCAGGGTTCCTGTATGGCTCTGGGGTCGGAGTGGACATCGACATTGCGAAGAGTATTGTGTATATGAGGTTCGCCGCCGAGACAGGTATGTAAATCGATCGTGCGTTGACCTGCGTGAAGCTTCTCAAGCAAATGTACTCGAACTTGCAGTCCCTCTGGGTGTTTCTTATGTACCTGTATGTATACGTAGTCCTGTTATGTGAATTCCCACACATGTTAGTATTTGTGAAAGTACTTTATGAGATACATGTAGTATGTGTATGTGGTCCTGTTTGGCGGAGTCTTCTGTATGTGTGTTTTGAAGCTCTGCCTGGCATACTACGTCTATATTGTGCGAGAAGTGAAATATAATCATTCAAAGCTGGAGTAGGATTGGTTACCATCTCAATGAGACTTGTAAATGTCGACTCTATGTATATAAGCTTATTTCTTCTAATATAATCTCTATTTAAGTGTCTATATCCGAATTACATACCTACTTAGAGCAACACTGAAGAGCACGTAGTCGCGACCGAGGTTTTTAGGTCGGCGTCATGGAATTTATTTATAGCACAAAGTCGGCACTGAATGCACTTTGTATCTATTAACTTGAAGCTGCGGGTTGATAATTTGGTATTTCTCACTGTTTCTAGTGGCGTTGCAGGCTCCGCACGGGGCCAGCTTTACACCTGTCTACTAGTGTGAACAAGTGCTCTCAAAGTCCAGGAAATGCGGTTGGTATCGTCTTGGTGTTGTATCTCACACCTCCTACGTATATTTTTCTTGTCCCAGGTGAGAGCTATGCTAGTGCCGCTCTGGGCTATCGATATTTTCGGGGCAGGAATGTACCTCAGGACTGTGCCAAGGCCATGGAGTTGTATCTCGTGGCTGCTACCGCAGTCGCAGAAGATCTGAAGAGTGGCATGACTAAAGCCGCTGGTATGTACGGAAACGGTATATCTGAGTATTTAGATTCGATATGCGATATATGAATGTTTATGTGCATATATATATAATACATGAACGTGTTTTTAAACGTAATATATATATATATATATATAATATGTACGTGTTGACAACTTAAATATATCTCCCCATTTGACGTACATGTGCGCTTACTTAGTGTTTATTTTTCAGAGTGCTACAGATTACTGTCAGAGGCAAGTTGTTTAGACCTGGTTGTACAGTTGTGCTGTTACAACCGGTAAATGATTTCTTTGCTGCACTTGATGTGCTTAGTGAATACGAGGGAGTAGTAGTAGACTGTACTGGTAGCGTATCTAGAAAGCTTTTACACGGGTAGCTCTTTGCGATGCTTATAGTGCCTGAGTCTGACGTACTGTTACGTGTAGTTGTAATGATATCTGGATACATGTCAACACTATGTTTGTAAACATTTTTGAATATAAAATAAGTTGCTAATTACGTACGGTTACGAATATGTACTCTCACCGTTGATGCAGAGATGATTCGACTAGCGCAAGATGAGGATCAGAGAAACCAGAACGGGATGTCTCAGTGGGACATACTCCAGTACTACCAATACATGGCTCAGCGAGGCGACATCCAGTCCGCACTGATAATGGGTCAGGTGTGTACTGCCTCCCTGTGCATGTATCGTGTAAGTGTACTCGAATTAAGTTTTTGGGCTTGTAAGTGAATGTGCATCTGCTTGGAAGGAGCTTTATCTGTCCGTACGCTATATACCTGGTACTACGTAGGTTATATGCATGCGCATGCCAGTAATTTACCCCGGATTTGTGCCGAAGAATGCAAATGTTTGTATATTTAGTAATAATTTTTTTCATACGCAGAAGTGTGCATATGTAGACACGAGTATGCTTGCATGATCACCTGTGCCTCGCTTCATAAGCACTTGGCATACAGCCGCATTGTGAACCTAACAAATCGCACTGATAGTAATGGTGTCAGTATGTATTTTCGAAACAGAGACGTTGCTGGTCTATCTCTGATGGCGTGCACACTTCTTTATAATTTTTTTTTTACCTTGGATACTAATACATGCATTGGTGGTCAACGTATGTACTCAGGTACTATTACAAGGGGCGCATGGGATGGATCAGGATCCCGGAGCTGCGGCGGACTACTTTAATGCGGCTGCCGAGGCAGGCAATGCAGAGGCAAAGGCATTTCTAGCGTCTATGCACCACAGTGGTGTGGGCGTAGAAAGCAGCAATCTAACAGCCTTTAAACTCTACAAAGAGGTATTTGAGGGTGTGAGCGAGTGTGTGGGGGTGCAGAAGGCTTAATCTTACAGTCTTTCAGCTCACAAAGGAGTGTGTGTGTGTGTATGTGCTTTTGTATGTGTGTATGTGCGTGTGCGTATGTGTGTATGTATACATCCTTGAGTTCTGGCGTCTGCTTATCAGCAGGGAAGGTGAGGGAGGCAACTAATTAGTAGAAATTGGGTTGTGCTAAAGAATATTTGTGTGCATGTGTTGAAATGCATATATTTAATAAAGTAAAGTTGTGTGTATGTGCGAGTGTGTATACTTCCTTGATTTTCATGATCTATTTACAATGTTGGTGCAATCGCGAACGACAGTAACCTCACAGCTATCGAGTTCTGCTGGTAGAAATGTGTGTATATATTCATCTTTTGAGAGATGTGTGTATATGCACATACCCTCGAATCCAACCAAAACTGTTACCGGCTCTTTCTACTACAATTGGATCTACCATTTAAGTTCATTCTGAAAACCATACCTGCATTCTGATAGGCAGCGGAAGAGGGTAATGCTCAGGGGCAAAATGGGTTGGGTCAGATGTACATGCTAGGCATTGTGGTACCTCAAAACTACGAAATGGCTCTCAAGTACTTCACCTTGGCGGCCGCGCAAGGTTGGTGTGCTCGTTCCGTGTTATAGTTTTTTTCTCGTTCTTTCCATTTTCGCATTGCGCATTTCAATTGGTCTGGCGTCTGAGAATCTTTTTACTGGTATATTACATATCTTAGTATGTATCACTCTTCTCCCTTATAGTGATACGTAAGAGATTTAGTTTTTCAAACTTGTAATGTTTTTCGATTCTGGCGAATATAGCATAGGATAGCGGATTGTCATGCGAATTGTGTATACACCGGCGTTCAATGTGGTATTCGCGAAGTGCGTTGTTGGGCCAGTGTAAAAACGTCGCTGCTGAGTCATTTTTACGTTGCTGGTCGAAGGTTGTAGTCAAACACGCATCGCCTCTCGAAGAGCATTGAGCTACTCTGTACATGCAGACTACAGCATGTCTCCAGGGGTATCCTACTTTAATATTACAGTATTATTTGTTCTTCTGGTGTTATCTTTAGGCAATGCCGAAGCCTTGTATAACGCTGCAACGATGTACTACAGTGGCCTGGGCACAAAGGTGGATTACAAGAAGGTATGTTGTACGATGCTTCACTAAATCACATATCGTACCTATTGTCCAAAGAACTGAGTTTGTGCAGACACCGAATGACGTGTATATGCGTGTATTGTGCCCGTCAACGGGTTGTAGCTTTCGAAAGTGTCTCAACGTGCCGTCTATTTGGGTATTATACTCACGAGTTACAAGTGTGGCAAGCAATTTTTTACAGACAAGCTTCTAATATTGTTTGCCTGTGTATTCTGATCGTGCGCTTTGGGCTAGCATTATTGACTAAACACTATTTTTGGGGTATATTTATTGAGTATTCACTTTCTCGTGCATTACAGCCTTGTGAGCGGGACGTTCTCGTAAAAGTAGGTCGACTACCACATCATGACTTCAAACATAAGTTTTTGTGTTATGTCAAACTTAGAACGATAAGATTCAGGGGCAGCTTTCTGGACGTGTATGTGAATACTTACAAATATTTCTAAAGCGTGTGTATCTTTTTGGAGGCAAGGATTTGTTTCTACGTTTTGTTTATTGTCTCATATCCAACACAGGCGTTCGACAACTTCTCCTCCAGCGCCAGAAATGGCTATACCCTAGCGCTGTATCACCTTGGAATCATGCATAACCTGGGCTTTGGTATGCAACGTGTGTGTATAAATGTGAGTGTGCATGCGTACGTAGTTTTCGAACCGTCCTCCTTACAGTTGACAACGCGTGTGCGTGCGTGTAGCCATCAGAACATCTACTATCTAGTCTTACTTTTGCAACATGTATGTACATAGGCGTACGTGCACATTTATTTTCGTGATTGTGACTATGAAGAGTGAGAGCTTCTGTGTGAGTGTGTTACATGAGTAGGCGTATGTATTATAGTGGTAGGATGTGTAATTTATGCATGCGTATGTGCATGTGTATCTGAAAAATGTTATGATTGAGTGTATTTGTTTCCATCGAGGGAGCGTGGTGTGACATTTTATGGTCGAGTGCGCTTGAGTGCTCATATGAGAAATACGTATAGCAACAATATCGTGTGATCAAATGCTACAATGAAACGCACACGTGTGGATTGTTCCGTGCATTTTCCGCAGTGGTTGGCAGGTTTAAGTACACTGCCCGTGAGTTGTACGTGACTAAATCTCATGGAGTACTTCAGTGCTTGAACGTACTGTTGCATATGAGTGTAAGTAAGCACACGAATAGGACGTTAGTTGTCTACGTATTCATCTGAATCTCACCTGGAGATCTCGTGCAATACTTTTCTGGTGACTAGTCAGAGCGAATATTCGCTTTCCAAGTGGATATCAAACCACATGCGATTAGCGGGATTTGCTCATGCGCATATGTGCATGCATCCGTACATACATGTGTGCATATGTACGTGCACGTATACGACTAATTTTACGGTGAAGGGGTTTGATTGAATATGTAGTCATTCAAATTTAATCTGGATTTGTCGATATTTTTGGCTTATATAGGAACAAGCAAATCCTGTGATCACGCCGTGACGTATTTCAAGAATATCTACGACCGCGCAGGGCATGCGCACTTACTTGCGGAAGCTTATGCGGCATTCAAGGTATGGTTTGCATATAATAAGACTCGAAATCAAAAGCCATAGGCCGTTACTTGTTATACTAGAAGCATTGAACTCAATTATGAGCTTACTTTGAAGTCAATTATAATAAGATATTGATATATATGCTTTCCTTTGATGGCTAAACTGGAGGTACTGATGTTGCTGACCTAGAATCTCACTATTCAAACATATTCGTTTGAACGTTACATTGTCTATTGAACTTAAGTTTGGATACTGCGAGACGATTTGGCCATGGCTTGACGATGACCGTCCCGTATTATTTTTGAGCTATCACACTCGAACATATATATTGGCCTAGTGGTGACATGGGTATGATAGTATACTCGCGTTTCCTACTAGCAGACAGAGGTATACGCCCTTTTAAAATAGGGAACTTGATTTTTCATCTTCATCGCCAAATGGTGGTTTGTGAGATTCGTTGCATGCTAAGCACATCTACATGTTGGTTATCGACACAGGATGGCGACACGTCGCGCTCCCTCATGATCTACATGTACATCGCCGAAACCGGTAGTGAACTTGCCCAAGCCAATGCTGCGTATATACTGGACTTACTGGCCACCAGACACGGTCAACTAACCCTGCACTCGCATCCGAAGTGGATATCCACGGAAAGCGTAGAAGCGTATGCGCTACTGCAGTGGATTAAGGCGGCGGAACAGCGGAGTTCGGAGGCGATTCTGAAGAAAGGTGTGTTCAGAGTGCATGTATATTAAAGTGAACTGGGATTCCGGGTCAAAGTGTAAGAAAAGGATTTTTAGGATTGGTTTACGAGTTCCTGGAGAATAATGTTTCTGAGGTCGATGATTATATATATATATATATTTGCGACACGCATGATGTATTTTGCATATATTTCACACCTACCTGCTTTACTGGTAGTTTCCTGACATTATGTTCATGACTTATTCTTATTCACAGGTGATCACTACTATTTTGGCTGGGGGGTCAATGCCAGTCATACAACTGCAGTGGAATGTTACCGAACAGCCGGCACTATGCACAACGCTCAGGTGCGCCGTCTTTACATGTATATCATGTGTACATGTATTTATGTATATATCTAGATGTATGTGAACGTATATTGTCAAACATATCTTACCACGCTCAGGCAGTGATCCTATTTGAGACATAATGGGATTGCGCTACTTATATTCACTGACGCAGTTACTTATCCTGTTGTGTTGGCGTCCTGACTACCATATCCGAGCAGGATGCGCACACCTGTCAATAGAAGTCTCCGTTGTGTGTCGTGATCTTTCATCAATTATTTGCAATCGATCACATCACCAATCAACCGCTTTTTACGAGAACATATGCATATAGATAGAGAACTTCCACGTTGATGCTAAATTGAATTTCATTTTTTAATCTGACTTTTACTTATATACACAGGCTCTCTTCAACATCGGATACATGACTGAACGTGGAGAAGGTGTCAGCCAAGACTTTGCGCTGGCTAAACGCTACTACGACCAGTCGAAGGAGGTCAGTCAAGACGCCCGCGTGCCGGTGTACATCGCGCTCGCGGGACTCCGAGCGAGAAAACTCTATACGGATTTTGTCCAGTTTGTGAAAGAGGACAACCTGTTTAAAATTAACTTGAACAACGTTGAGATTAACTTCGAAAACGGCGTATTGCATGGGATCAATGAATTCTATCAAGGTAAGGTCTGCTTGGTGTTTGTATTAGATCGTATGGCTTATTTACTGTTAGTAGGCCACATCCGCAGTATTGGCATCTCAGCGACCATAATTTGTCTTGTTTATATTGACATCATCGTCCGTAGCATCAACAGTCTCGCATGAATTTTGCTTGCGTCACCTCACGCAGTTTTTACCAGTGTCAGTGGTTTTTGAAGCCTGTACTTGTATTGTTTTAGAACCAGTGGTGTTTTTGTGGAAGCTTTAACTCTCCTGATATAGCCCATTCTTATCCTTAAGCCCCCCTCCCCTCTTTCCCCCCTAACACACGCACTTGTCGCAGAGGTACATCCTGCTACGGTTTGGGGACCAGACTGGGAGTACCACGTGATATTTATACTGTTTATAGTGTTGATCACTTTGATTCACTTTCGGAGGATGTTCTACAGTATAGAAGCGTTTGAAACGGAGCAGGCGCGCCTTGCTGCTGCACAGGCCCACGGATAGGAAGTGTGATAAGTAAGTGGTATTTTAGATTTCACGGCAAACATATGTATACATTGAGCATGTGGCATGATGTTTGCCGTGAAAGTCGTACAGAGCGAGTTGGGGAGAGGAATCAGCACTCGCAAAAGGCTACATTCAGTTTTTGGCGGCGTGCCTACTTGCTTGCGAAAGGTATATGCCGCACGTGATAGAAATAGAAAAGGAATCGACCGTCAGTAGAGGAATATGTCTGGTACTTCTTGACGTCCCAGTGTACGTCCTGGCTGTGCAGGTAGTAGAGAAATGAAATTCAGCCATCGCAGAGGTATTTTTTCAGTATACTGATAGTGTTCCTATACCTATACCTATACCTATACAATCTGGGACACCATATGGCATGCCAATTTACTTTCGGAAAGTATTATTCAGACCTCTGAAAAGTTATTTGAAGAGTGCAGAAAGGTTCGCCATGACCTGCCGATATACATTCACTCGTACCGACGAGGGAAGAGCCATGCGCGTGTCCACTAGCGCAGCACCACGTTGCTTCGAAGCCAGTGCACAAGTAGTTGTGGACAGATGGTCACCCGATTCGCGAATCTCGGCTTACGCGTTATGTTAGCGTCTTAGTGAACTGTCAAGCCTATATGCAAGTGCCATGCCTATACTCAGAGAGAAGACGATCAGGTTAGATACTAATATATTTATCGCCAGCTCTCCTCAGCGGACCATATTGGGTGTATCGATTGTCCGCGAATTTGAATCCGATTACGACGTATGCGCCACTAAACTCGCTGCGTAGAAACAATATGTTTACTGAATCATGGACCAAGCGCATGCAATGGCAGTCCTCAAAAGGCCTGACATATCACGTATCTGAGATGTAGGTATATTAGTAACACGACTTGGTCGAAGTTCTAACCAGAAGGTAAAACATGAGAACGCATGGTACTTGCGATCGATGAGCTTAGCACGTAAACTTGCGATCACTGAAATTAGCCTCGCTAGAGTGCGCAATGCATGCAGCTATAGCTCAATTGACAGCACCAATCTCGGCGTAGGCTTTCTCGAAGCTGAAACTTTGGGACTCGTCTCAACTATAACAAGAGGATGAATCGCTGGGCAGCATGCGTGCACAAAGCAATCATATGCAGCACACGAGTGCATGAGATGAGGTTTATGTGCCAAGTGGAATGGGCGTAGCACAGCTCAGAGCAGTACATTACAGTACAAAACTACGTAACACAATAGAACACATTGCAATACATCACATCACAACATACAAAACAAACATAGCTTGACAAACGAGTCAGCATGCACAAAAACACGAGTCTGACATAAAGCTATGTCTGTAGATTGGTGGAGGGTTCACACACGAACACTATGCCGAGCAGTTGTGCATTGCGTAAAAGAACTAATCATATTCGCTGGTAGGTATATATAGCATGCGTTCAAAATATATACTATTTCACAGACGCTCCCTCGACAATACCAACGCAACGTACATACTGTGGTTGGACGTAGAAGTACCGCAAGTGCAAAAGGATTCATTTGTAGAGATTTATATAAATTTATAGCCGGGAGGACAGGGCAATGTATTTCCCTCTGGTCCGCACATGATTTTGCGCTCTTTTCCAGGCTCAACTACACGCACGTGCTAGATAGGATATTTACTATAGAGGGAGGTAGATCGTAGTGCCACCTCAGTCAGTTCTAGTACTGGGTTTGTAAGTGATGGCTAGTTAGTCAACCGCCAGCCGCGCCCGAAAAGAAGAATCACCACTCAGGTCAAATAGTATATTCATAGCTTTGTACGAATAAATTATCATCAAACTAGTGCTAAATATTCGCAACCGATGTCGAGTTGTCGCAACAGCATCGTAGGACTCCGCTACCCTCAAACTATTAGCATGTGTTTACTTCGAGGTCATTGTCACTCAACCCTCAACTGTTTGCATACTCAATGTTTCTTGGTTTCTTGCCAGCGGAATTCTCTACGTCTTATTGAACCCACCGAGATCGTCAGCAATTGCGCGTTGATGTGGTTGTGTATATTTGTACACGCAAATATCTACAATTACTAGTGTACCGCAAATATCCACAATCACTATATCGTATGCGGTTGTGTGCGGGTGTACAAATATATATATATATAAATATATACATATATATATATGTGTGTGTGTGTGTATCCATGACATTCGTGCAGTAGTGTGCATATGTGTGTCAGATTGATCCTGCTACTACCCTGGACTATATAAATTTATGGGTGTAGTGCGGCACAAATAGTTTTGTCAGTTGACAACTGTTTCTAGCGTGTATGATCAAAGCTGACAAGCAGGATTACAGCTTCACCTGGACATACGTCCAAGAAGTGCAAGGGTATTGGTTTGCAGCCGATGTTCTATCCCTTGCCAAGTGCCAATGCAGCTATGCAAGTCATGGTTACAAAATCAGACCTAAACGTCTACTACGTTTGTTACTCACGGCATCAGTTGGCAGTGGCCAAAAGTCCACGCACAGGGTGCATCCGCATCCAATTTTTATTCGCAATTTTTCATCACCCCTTTCAACTTGAAGATAATCTGCTTAGTCTGCTTGAAACGGCATAAATCCAGTACAGACTAAAGCACCGCACTTGCATTGCGTAACTTTTCGCGTACCATCATCACTTGCTTTACCAGTAGTAGAATGTGCGCGCGAGTGTGTCTCTCGCTCTACGTACGTACCTTTGCTTAGTTGTTCATGTATAACATCACCATATGTGAATGTCAACTCTTCACCTGCTTGTATGTCTCGATTCGCGAATAGTGCTACTGACGGCAAGGGTAGTCCGTGTCTGGCGATTTGCTTAGTCAGATTCGGGTCACAACTATGATTGATATACCGTCCTACGTTCCCCATCATCGTTGCATCGATATTCGTTCTATAACTCGAGTGTTGTGGAGATGCAGTCCTTCTAAGTGATTGAGCGCCTTTCTCACCACTTGTATGTACCTCTTGAGGGTGATGTTGAGTGTACTTGACCTCTGTATCTGAACTATACTCCGAATGCTCATCAGAGCCATCACTCTTTGGTGCTCCGTCACAAAGGCCTGTGTTTGTACCCGACACTGTGTTTGTACCCGACACAAAGTTAAGGCTTGAAGTTATTCCCAGGTGCGCTATTGGAGCATTCGTTTGTGCGAGTGCTGGCGATGTGTCGGTATCCGGCCTTATCTTCTTCTCCTGAACGCACACGTTCGCTTCTATTTCGCTCACTCGCGCACGTTTCAGCAGGGGAACACTTTGGGGCATATAATCACTGTTATCTACAAGCTTATTCTGTGAGGTGCCATCTCGCTCAGCTCCCTCCTGGCCATCTAACCCCCCAACAAAAGCTTCAGAAACACTCAAACGGTCTCCCACACGCTCTACAATATTCTCAGTTACACTCAACAGGTAATTGAGGCCGAAAGGATCATACATTTCGCTTTGCCGTCGTTTGCTCTCGCGTGTATTGATGACCTCTCCCGCATACTCACACACAAATTGGCCTGTCCGAATTGGGGCCAGAGCTCTGACACCCCAACCCTTTCTCTCAGTCATATATACCTGGTATTAAGAATGTGCATAGTTGTGTGGTTTTTACTATTGATGTATTAGCAAGTACCCAAGAGTTCAATGTATTTTGGCGTGATACTCAGGTTATCACATGTTGTGTGTGAGTCGAGAGTCTGTTGAGTATGGCTACCGCGTATCATCGATTAAAAAATCAATGTACATTGGCGCGGTTGGAAGGTTGTTGGCAATCCTATTTGTATTTGAAGTCTGGTAAGTACAAGAATGATAAAGCGGCTGACTTTGTATGTCTAGTACAACCGGGATAAACCACTTTATATCACATCATATATAGACACTAAAAGTATAACTACCTGTGTAAGTTTCAACCTAAAACCTGAAAGCGTACTACATTATGCGCATTTATCTGTCTGAAATTTCGGGAACCTACCTCTAACGCGATATTGACTCCATGTTGCACCAGCCGGTTTCCACAATTTTCATTGCATCCACAGGCAGAACCGCATTCGTAGATGAGCAGAAACTTCGAGCCATCCCCATGGACATCGGAAAGTCCCATCCACTCACCGCTATCTAAAGCATCTGACAAGCCCAGTTCACCAGAGTCATGTTGCATCGTCGGAGTGACATCGATGGGTCGATAGATCAACGTAATTTCAAATGAGAATAGAAATGTGTACACACCATATGTTTACCGACAGAGTATCAATATATCAAAATGACTATCGGCATATTGAATGTTAATCTTAAAGAGTATCATAATCTCATCGGGAGTTTCAGGGAAGGTATAGTAGCCAAGGTACGGTTGCCATCTGTTCATTATGTGCGGTGTTCACCGTGGGAATACAGTATGTGTGGTGTACCCGTATGGTCTGTAAAGTGGAATGTGAGCTCTTGTGAGCTGGAGTAAAAGGTGACTTTTGTAGCGACATATATCGTCAAGCATACCTATATCTGGTCAATTAGATGCTCGAAATCTTCTAGCTGTTCTGGCTACCAGTCTATTAAGCATGACTGATCTGTAACGACACATTCACTTTTGAAATGTTCGCGCTACAGTATTTCCCAACTTCTGTGAGAAATATTACGCATAACGGTGGTAAAACCCGACCCGACATATTTACCTTTGTCATCAGGAAGCACACTGTAGCCCGGCTGCGTACCGCCCCACTTACGGACACAGGCACACGTATTTACATCACACTTTGACCCGGGACACGCGCACCCTTGTGTGTAGGCGAGGGGTGCTAAGGATGTCCCACTTTTCCCAACTAGTCCTACGATATACTGTGGTGAATGCAAGGATATAACAGTTGAAAATTCATCGACGACATATTCCCTCGAATTCTAGACATGATACTGAATGGTAATATATAAAAGCGTGTAATAATCCACGACATTCTTAAATTGAAAATATAACCCCACAGTCCCGGGTCCTGTTCTGAATCGACATTTTACATCCATATAGAGTAAAACACAATCTGGTGTAAATGTTACAACTATCACTAAGCATGCATTTTTAGAATATATATATATATACATAAATATATACATATACATATATATATATATATGTAGTGTGTGTGTGTGTGTGTTGTTGTGTGTGTGTGTGTGTGTTTTATATTATATAACATATATATATATATATATATATATATATATATAGTATTATAATGAAACACATCAAGAACGTTACATGTATGTATATTTTTTATAAACATATTTGTATGCAATATCAGAATATACACACATATGCACAAATACACAAACAAAATGTGTAGAAAATACAGTCCCACACGTTTGAATTTTAAAAACTAAAAGTGTCCGAAGAAAGTCTGTGCACATATATTATAGTGGCCGCGTCTACTTATGGATATTTCTGCAGTCATAAGAGTTTGCTATGTAACACATACTGTCGCCGAGTCATTCTTGCCAAAAGTAGCGAGACCAGTTTGAAAATTCTCCCGGGAAGAAACTGCATATGTTCCGGAGAGTAGCATAGCTATCATACATTACGCTACACAGCTATCAAAGACGTAGGCACTCGCGCATACCTATTCAAATACTTTAATCTAGAAACCAGAGCAATAGAATATATAATATCTTCCGTAGATATCTGCAGCAGGCAAAGTCGCGTTTTAAAACGCAGTGAACGCATAATATATACGTATTCGTCTTCACGCATAAATATAATTTCTTTTCTGTCCATTTCATTAAATTCTCAAGTTACTTATAGGCTCACATTTGGTGTATAACATGTAGCATGCAGTTCTACGTTCTCCAGTTCATTCGCCTTACTTGCACTATTTTCATCCCAGACTGAATGCCCGACGCTTAATAAATGATACTATATGCAAAAGAGACGAGAGTTTCGTCACACGGAGAATCTGTCTGCAATGCACCAGAGGAAGTCATAGTCACGTACTGGTTTTTCCGTCAGTTCGTCAGAAGATCTGTTCGTTAGTTTTACTGGCACCCTCTCTAACCCACGACTTAAGTCGAGCTCATGATTTCCACACATCTCCAAATAAGCTCAGACTTCACCTCTGTTTTGAGAATCTAAAAAGCACAAGGTCGGACATCTTCCTCTTGTCTAGCTCTACTATACTTGCCACCAGTATGAACTTTAAGCTGTTTTTGCTAGTTTATTTATATTTATACGTTGCCAAACAGCAGACGTCAAGTTTCAATAACTTCTTGTGCAGTACATAATTACATATGGGGTGATAAAATGTCTGATAAACTCCGTAATATTTTGTTTTTATGTTTGATGTACCGAACTTTATTCTAACCTACATGCAACGCACAAAGCATCTGTAGACTTATCGAAAATAAAACATTTGAGTTCTCACGACATCGGTATGCCGGCAGCCGAAGAGCGTCCATTGTTGAGTTTAGAATAGAACGATATTGCTCGTCGCAAGACAATGAAGTAAACACTGGATAGCTCTAGAGTAAATCAAAGCATGCGATCGAAGCTAAAGATATCCTGCGCCTTGCAGGCTTTCGAACGGTCTCAAAGTGATATTTCGCATTCTGAAACCATGTCCCTCTGGAGTCTGAAGTCTAGAGTCTGGACTCAGGATTGAGCCTGGATACGTGTGTAAATATTTTATATACACTTAAAAAATCGACTGTATAGCGTGTAGTGCCGTGTACACCAGCTCATTCAGAAGATTATGTAAATATGTACATAAAATGTCATAATTCTCTAGTACATTGTTCATGAACTATAAATCGTTTAATATTTTTGTGCGGTGCCAACATGCGTGTGATGTGAAATATAGCGTTTAAAACAATATATTGAAATTGAGACTGTAAGTCGGGAAACTTAAAACTTGAAGCCTGAAGCCTGAAAGGGCTGAGACTGTAAGGCTGAGGGTGACGCATATATGATTCAGTATCACAGCCTAGTGCCTACTACTACATATCAATAAATAGAACAACGAGAGACTTGAAGGGAGTACACATATATTTATGTACATAACTACATATGCATATTTTTATATCCTATTTAAAATAATTACACAATCAGTTGCGATTTGATTGGGAATGCTTGTTTACGTACATAGGTAAAAAAAAAGAAAATGGCTTAAAATAATCACATCATAAAATGTAAATAGAAATCAACAAGTTGTGTCGTAAATTCTTCTTGTGTGACAGAAAAGTCAGACTGAATTCTGAATACGAAAGTAGAAACAGCTAAAAGTTGTAAAAGTAAATATTGTAAACCTCCAAGCAACAGCAATATACGATAACTGATTCGGTTAATGGTAATCTCTAGCGAACTATCAGTTTACTAATTCAAATTTCAAGCATTCGATATTTCAATCGTATTTTACACAAAGCCAATCATAGTCGAGAAAATAAAAAGATATTACTCTAGAAAAAAGTGGTTACCAGGTACCATAATTTCATACAAACACCGTCAAGTGTCAATTCTGGGTCAAGAGTGTCATCCTCAGTGGCCCTTGGGAATGATTTTTTTTTGTTGAAAAATAGTAGCTTGCCTACACACCCAGCGAGTCACTGTAAATACCGTTAAGTAACATCGAATGATTGCAAGTATCTCTGGCAAAATAAAGTGTGATACATACTGGTTGCAACCCTACAGCCTACGCATTGATGCAGATGTTGTGGATGACCGCTATAAAATTAGCTGCAATGTCATGAGTAATGGTGTCACCATCCGTTCGTTGTTGTTTTAATAATGTCCTTTAAAATGTGTAGCAACGTTCCATAACCCACACGAGAAAAGTATAATACACGAAAAACTCAATTGACGTCGTTCCAAAATACATAAGGCAGTGAATCAATCAAATGTAACACAATCAACATACGTTCAGGAACATATATATGCCAACACGTGTGAACCTAAGTTGTTATTGTTCATACTTCTTTGTACACGGCATTAAGTGCTGAGTAGAAGACTATCCATATAACACAAAAATGACAGTAAATGCAGTAACACGGTTGCAAGCACGTACTGGAGTACCTACCAGATTGACATCGGCGATATCTAAAAAGGCATCGCCCCTGAAGCATGACAGATACCCGCAACAGGCACGGTTACCACCTAGTCAGCAAATTATAAAAACCAAATCAATAGTATACCCTGCACAACAACGGCAGAAGGAATTAAATGTCACAACTGAAGCGAATAGTCATCCACAGTGCACACCGATATATAATAAGCAAGCTGGCAGACAAAAGCCACGGCAATCGCCACAGCAGCATGACAGTACAAGACAAAGTGTATTGGAGTCTTCTGACCGAGCAGTACATACAGAAGCTAGTGCAAGCATTTCTGGTATCGGTACGTTAGCAGCTCCGTGCCCGGAAAAACGATTCAATTGGTGGATCAACGAAAAAAATACAGTACACGCCAAAGCTAAATTGGCAGAAAGCTTTGTACAACTGCAGGGAAACTTTTCTTACGCTCGCGAGGATGGGCTGAAGAAGTTAAAGCACGCGCTGAGTGAACCAACGGAGGTGGGTAGGAAAATATTGGCATTGCAAGACTTAGACATATACAATATAGTGAAACACTTGCACGTTTCAATATTTGAAAGGTGGGAGAATAGTAGAGGACTTACGCACAAGAATTGTAGAGTGAGTGTGGCAGAGTTAGTTCTTTCCTTGAAGTTGTTGGAGGGCGCTGTATTACTACACCCTGAGTCGAGAGAATATGTAAATATAGAGCTCATGGCACGCTTTATCAAAGGGAAAGAGTCCTTGCCTGGAGCCGCAAACGCACACCTACACAAGCACGGTTTGGCTGTGCTGGTTGCGACCCTGATCAACTGCACACTTAGTCAATTTAAGCGCTTTCAAGCGGAAGCCGGAATTGACAGTGTAGCCACCAGTGTGGGATACACAGGTCAAATGGAGAGAGAAATACGTCTGCATGCGTGGGAGTTGATAACGATCATGAACAACGAGCAATCAGATCTCAACACGCGCATAGCAATGCGGAGGATACTGGAGAAGCGATTTGGGAGATCCATGCTAGAGAGCGCGGTGCGTAATGCACAATTCTACACGTGACAAAGACGAAACCATCAATAAATTAAGAATGCCATATTGTGCCACATGCGGCCCCTGGCAGCTATATTAAATCGAGCTAAATATAAAGCAGTCTAATGCTAGACTTGTTCAAATAATAAACTCCGCTCTTCTAATATAGAGTTATTATGATTTGATTGCTAAAATCACAGACATCACGGACAGCACGAAGTCGATGTTCGTGGTGTCCCGAATGTTTGCACGTGGATAGTAAAACGTGTATATACCGTACACAGTATTTGCTGCGTCTAGTAGTGATTCTTAGGCGCTTAAGTTGAAGAACAGTGTGCAAAATAATAGAACATCGTGCAGTAGTACGTCGCGGGCTTTTTCTCTTCCCATCAGCTTTTATGCTCTTCAAGTGACACGCCCAAAACTCCTAAACATTGACAAAAGCGCCTAATACTTTTATTGTCCGCCTTTCTACGATTACTGGGTTGCTTTCAGTGATTGAACCTTATTGTCGGGATTTGTTAATAGCTCAGAGAACTCCTTGATCATCTCTACTCCACGCACCTCGTGGGTCAGCAAAGGTAATTTGGTGCTGCACATGGTTGTATGAGGTATGTGGTGCATGCACTTGAGTACAGACACGAATATAAAAGACGTATTGTTCAAATCTCAAACAAATCCAAATGATGCGTGAGCTTCATCAATGCGGCATCAAAAGTCTACTAACAATACTGAAAACCGCTGCATATTGATTAAAAGAATTGAGGGCTACAAAAATTCGAAGGTACGCGAAGCGTGCAAGAACGACACTGGCGTAGCGACAGAGCTGAAAACCGAGACGCGAATTGATTTTTTGATTTGAGTTTAGATTATGCCCGGGTGGCAACGAGAAACGGCATAATCAAAATCAGAGACTCATTCGGGTTTCGATACGGGAAGGGCATGTCGAAGACAGCAGGTTGACACACAAATAAGAATGCACTCAACACTAAATCATATAAAGCATCAGCCTCTCACAAATGAAAACCCAATTTGTAATAGATACAGGACTTACACATTGAAATCCTCGTAAAGATCGTCGATTTGCGACAGATACTTTTGCTGTATCAACACGCGTGACTTACAAAGTCCACAGCTTGACTCTAAACAACGTAAAGTAGATATTTAGATTAGGGTACGAGTCTTTAGTAGCGGATTTCACAGTTGGATATAAAAACCGATGGGATGGACAGGTTGCGGCGGGGATTGCAAAGTGATCAAGAAGCGTGGCGTTAGTAAAACCAATGCTGAGTGCCACAAACAAAAACAGCATAGAAAAGTTTGCAATTGTGTAACTTTTCGTACTATAATTTCGAGGTCCATTAATTTGAACAGCACGAGGGATGCACAAGCGGTGTGCACGCACCTGTGCACATGGTAAACAATCAAGATTACGAGGTGGGCTCAGCTAAAAGGGCGCATAAATGCTTGAAATAAACGGCTTACAGACCATTCAGAGAGTGCGAGGGTCAATTGAGGGGGTAGGAAACACGTCTCTATGATACCTCAATACAAAAAGAATGAAGGAGTGCTGTCCATAATTCTGCGCATGCGGATGTAAATATGTGGGTATAGCATTCGCAAAAAGAAACTTACTTTCATCGGGCATAACCAGCTGGTTTACTATGACGTTGTGTGTATCTATTTCGAATTTTGTTAGTTCTTGTACCAGTCGCTCAGTTTCGTAAAGTGACAGGAACTCGGCGATACATACACACACGAACGTGGTGCTCTCAGGGTCCTGGGACAAAATTAGTGGTCATTAATCGTACGAGCACATGTTGAAAATGAATTGGTTCGTGGCCAGCGCTGAACTTGTTATGATGCTGGCGCAAGTATCACTTGAAATAAACTACATGGCATGAACAGTCAGAATACTTTATTCAGATATCTTGACTTTTCAGTAAAAAACTACTGCTTGTGATAAAGCGTTCATACTCATAATTCATACAATGCATCTAGTTTACCCCATAGTTTTATCACCAATAACTCTTAATTCGTATCAATTTGAAACTACTTTCTTCAACATCTTTAATTCGTCGGCTCAAGCACGAGATCCGCAAAGACAGAGCTTAGTGCGTTAAAGAAATACACAAGACTCATAAACGGCAGAGATATAAAATTGACGGCACAAAAATACAGCACACCTACCTTACGAAACACAAACCTGCATGCTTGTGTATACTATAGTGAACTTCACAGATATTCTACCAAAAAAAAAATCCCTTTGAAAACAGAAGTTTGTCAGCTAGTGTACTAAACTGGTATCCCATGCAGTGTTAAACTTATAAATGACGTGAAACTCGATAAAGTCATATGATATTCTAAATTACTATGTAACACTGCCATACCTGGAACTGACGGATAACTTCGTCGATGACTTCTTTTGTGCTGTTCAATTGTTCGGTAATGGCGGCATCGTCGAATGCAGGCGCTCCCATTAGACTACTCATCTGTGACGTGTACATGAGGGTGTATAAAAGCTCGCTATCAGCGTAGTTTGCAAGATAACACCTATGCGATAATATTAAAGGATTCAGGGCAAAAGCACAAAAGTGATGGTAGAGACACGCACCTGAGTCAGCATGCCACCGAATTTCTCCTTAAGATCCATGATCTTGGCCAAGCCTTTTTCCAGAATGCTAGGGAATTGAAGCAACCGCAGGGTGTGCCCCGTAGGGGCGGTATCAAATACTATACACGAGTATTCCATCGACTGAACAAGCCTGCGCGAGTTGTGGGATTAAAGTTCAGTGAGCGTAACAAAGAAGTATGCTAAAGAAAATTTACGGTGACACCCCAGAAAAAGTCGCTCCAATAGCAACTCAGTAATGCTCCTCATGGTCATGTTGGTGGTGCTTACACCCTTCTAATGCAGACTTTCTACGTAGTCATTCCAATGTCGAGCGCCTGTACACATACTTGAGAGAAACTAACAAAACGGTATACATTCTGTATATCACAGGCACATACTTCATAACTTCTGCAAAACTCATGGCTTCATCGATACCAGGAATCGACCCCATTATCTCTTGCATCATACCCCCCATTACACTCTCGTCATCGCCAGCTTTTACTTTGTCGACAGTTGGGTCAACTTCCATGGCGTACAGATTATCAAAGCCATTTACCCTGCGGAAGATAACGATTGAATTGATCAAAAGAGTCTCTCGAACGATTGTACTTGAAATATATTCACTATAACGTAGCATTTTTTAATCTAGAATGCAGAACTTATGATTGTAGTTGAAGAAACCATACTCGATGTAACCGCATGTATGCAGTTATACAATTCCTTTAATAAGCCCATAATATATACATTATATATATATGTATATATATA